AGGGCGGCGCATCCAAGGCAGTCCTAGCACTTATCCGGGCAAAGCCTTTTCGAAACACCGTTCATCGCGCCACACACATGAACACCCACCCGAGATCAAAATCCGTGTGATTTATGGGAGTTCTGTGGCCCGGTGGAGAGGAAGATAAAGGAGGCAATGGAAATGCGAACGACCAAGGAGCCACAAATTAACAACAGAGAAGAGCTGCGAACAGCTGTGGGACTTCTGAAGCTCCCGGGACCAACTCGCCACCAGTTTCCTAAATCAGTCAGCTGTTAAGGCTTTTTCGTTGCATCGTAACTGTCTCATTTAGATGCTCTTTATGTAAAATTGGAAGTATGTGTCACTCCTGCTCTGACATACCTTTTCAATAGAATACTTCTGAAAGGTGAGGTTCCTGCGATCTGGCGCTTGGGGCTGGTGAGGCCAATACATAAAAAAGGAAGTAAGTGTGATTACAAGAACTACAGACCTGTTTGCCTCACTTCATCTGTTAGCAAAGTAATGGAAAGGATTGTAACCCACCAACTTAGAAATTTTCTCTTATCGAAGCGAATTTTATCGCCACATCAGCATGGCTTCATTCCAAAGAAGTCGACTGCATCAGCGCTTCTCTCGGTAATCCCTACATGGCAGCATGCAGTTGACCAAAAGATATCAGTTTTTGCTGCTTACGTAGATTTTTCCAAAGCTTTTGATACCGTGCCACTGCATCTTTTGTTTGTCAAATTGAGGCATGTGGGTATAGCCGGCTGTCTTTTTAATTTCATCAAATCGTTCCTCTCTAACAGGTATCAGCGAGTAGTTCTTAATGGTTCGTGCTCTGAGATATACCGTACTGGCAGCGGTGTCCCTCAAGGCTCTTGCTTGGACCTTGATGTTCGTTCTGTACATTAACGACTTGCCGAGTGTCTTCCCTCTGGAATTCAGTGCACGATGTACGCCGATGACGTCAAGGTTTACTGTACTGATCGGCCTTCTTTATTACAAGCTGCGCTTGATGCCATATCGGATTGGGCTAATAGATGGGAACTAGGCATTTCTGTGGACAAAACAGTTTGTTTGCGATTAGGACCTACCTCCCCGTCCCAGGTTCTCTCTTAATGGGGTTGAGCTCAAGGAATCAGATGTTGTTTGTGATGCTCTTTTCGCCTGCTTCCACTGTGTTGTTAAAAGGTCATATTCTTGTCATAGTGGTATTCACTTAGCGCACTTCCAGAGCAAGACTTCATTTACACCTCGCGCTTTTCTCGTACAGGAATCTTCGAGAGGTGATTCATTTAAAGGTAGGGGTCACGATGGCAGGAGGGCGTGCAATTAGGATGAAGTCATTGAATGTCGTTGATGGACCAGCCCGCCACCAATCCTGGGGTCTGGTTGGACTGCCTTTTACGCCATCCTATTATATCAATGGCGTTCAATGACGTCATCAAGTCGCACTTCCCTCCAGCCATCGTTATTTCTGCCTTCAAGGCATTCCTATTTTTCACAGCCTTTGTCTCTCGCGTCGCTTCCACAGCTATTCTGGTTGTGTTTAGAAATGAAATTCTTATAACTTCATTACAGCACCGTATAGCAAATGCCGAAATATAATAGATGAGTTGGTAGATGGTGGGTTCTGTACGACCCCGTACTTAGAAGCCCAGACCCTGAGTTGTACCAGAACCTTCTCAGATCAACCGAGGTATCACGAATTGGTTACATGCAGGAGAAGCTGGCAGCACCTCTCACCAAACTGATTGGAGCGTAAGAAATCGGCTTAAGTCGCGGCTTTTCCCTTATCAACACCGAGTCGTCCTCGCGCTTCGCTTCGTTTTTCTTCCGACAGGCTCACGTGTTGCTTCTCCAGGAATGTTTCGACCGTGGACACTTCTGCTCCTTCGGCTTGAGCTTGCTTCAGCAGCCGATGTGACCAGACTTGTAGACTGTTATCCTGAGCCTGGGGCTACTGAGCCGTCGTGCCAGGCAAGAGGCTGCATTTGGCAGCAAGCCCCTCCGGTATGCCTTCAGAGAACTCCTTAAGTCATCTTGTTTTTCATGATCTCTCGGTTTCAGGACGCTCCAGAAGGTACTCCATGGTGTTTCTATCCTACCGCTTCGGGGTTCCTAATGATGTCTAAGGTTTCTCCCACCAATTACCTATTGACGTCAGGTACTCAGACTATCATTTGCACTCAGAAGATTATGAGTTTAACTATTTTCTTCCAGCCACCAGCAACCCGTATGGCGGCAATATCTCTCCACTGAATGTGTCTACTCAAACTAATGGAGCAACACTCTTCGTGACGATCGGAAACGATGACAGGTAGGAAAGGGCCGCGATTCGCTAGGCTTTTCGATTTTTGAAAGCGCCGCTTTGTGGGCTGTGATTTTTTAAAATCAGACCCCGTACAGCTTCAGTTTATTTATTTGTTTATTTATTTATTTGTAACACTGCATAAAGCAGACGCAAAACACCGAGAGCACCATCAAATTGTCGCAGTTTACTTCTGCTAACCATAGCTAGACATGCAAGATTTGTCTGTCGTTTGTTTACTTTTCTCCCATGGAACTGACGCACATGTAGCCCCTGATGGCAAAAATTTGTGCGTTGCAATTGCCAATGGCCGAAAATTTCCGGAAGTAGAAAACATGGCGCATCCCAGGAAGGGATTGTTCAGCACCAAACGCCATTCCTCCTTCATCCCTTCGACAGGAGGTGGCTCG